TGCAATTAACTTTCACCCAGCCTTGCCTTCTTAATTCAGGGTTGAGTAAAGTTTCAACCTCTTTTGAGGAGCTTATTCAAGCTCTTTTGATAGTCTCTCGATCTACTAATAGTGAATATGCAAGCCAGAGTCGCACATGAAAATGTATTTTTTTTAATGCCTCATTTACCCTATTTCCTCAATTCATTCATTTACCGTTTTAATTTTGCTGGCCGTTCTTCTAAATCTTGTATGTTCTCTTGAAATCATTGGACTGAAAATAAGATGAAGAGAAGTATCGAAATGAGTTATTACTCAGTCGCTTTGTATAATTTTATGGAATAAAATCATGTTTATAATTTACTGGCCTTGCCACATTCTTTTGAAAAACAGGTTCGCAATAAAGTTTTGGCCATTAGCTGGTTGGTAAAGTCGAAATTCCCCATTACTTATTATTAATAAACAAACAAGCTTTGTGAATTGATAGTCTGAACAACTAGCAATGCAATCCGGCCCACAATTTCCTTGAAGTTTTGGTAACTCTTATTGTTTTCAATTTGTTATCTAACAGATGATTTTTATTATATCCTATCTAGTAACGAATACCGATAGCATAAATTTGTTTTAATCTTGTGCCATACTTATATAAATTACCAATTAACGCAAAGCGTAGATTTTGAATGTGTAACTTGCCACTAGAAAAGTAAAGGTGGAAGCTCACAAAGTTGTTTTAGCTATTCATTTTAATATAGCCCCAATAAAAAATGAGAAGACGTCACCTAACTTTGTTTGAAGCTCCTGAATCAATGCTGTAAAAGGCTGAAATGACGACATAATAACTACGTCATTGTTCTGAGTGACCCTGGGTGATCGGAAGAAAGGACAGGCATTTTCCTATATCACATTTTGTGACGGGATTGTCGATGAGGCAAATTTCTCGAGAACCTACACTAAACAAAATGAAATTAATGTCGTCGATTGCTATAACAAATATAAGCTTTCTTCATCGGCAATCCCACCACAGAATGTGATGTGGAACAATGCCTAGCCTTCCTTGAAATTCACATCTTCCCCGTGACCCAAGGGCATTCGTGGCAATGTAGCGTAATGGTTAACTTGTCGAGATTATACGCTGCACTGTCATGGCTCCAATCCAGCTGGGAGTGTTGATAAGACCTAGGCAAGATCGAAACAGCAGCCCGCCCTGGATGATAATATCTTTTGGGAAAGTAAGGCTATGTGTAATTCAATAGGAACGTGATGTCTATTTATATGATTGTGAGAAAATTCAATTGTTAGTCCTTCGTCACCTTAAACTAAATAGGATGAATATTGCACATATATCTGATCTACTGGTAGTCTTTAAAGTCTATTAGAGACAAGAAATTTTCACTAATTAGTCCGCCAAATTCGGAATTTTCTACTGCAAAGCCGAAGTCAAAATAACATTTCTTTTGGCGAAATTTTCATTGCATATAAGGTTTGATCATATATGTACCTATATTATTCCTTTTCAGACAACTTTCAAAAGAAGGCTCGTCTCTTGGAAGACATTTATTCAAAAGAAAATAGACTTGACCGTTGGCTTGACCGCCCTTCAACTACTTTATCGGGCCGATTTCATGCCAATTCAGCTCTCCACCACTCTAATCCATCGTCAGAAAAGCTGGGGGGCTTCTCTACAACGAATAGTTCGACTACCGAATCGGTGAAAATGGCAAAGCATTCATTGTCTACACAAGACACTATATCTGAAGGGGATCAAGTATCAGAGAGAGCCGTAGATGCGATCATCTCGAAAGGCAATACAGAGACCAGTGAAGAAGACTCAACAGCAACATCTTTGAGCTCCAAAAATACATCATATGTTTCTTTATCCGGCCCCTCAAGCTCTTCTCTACTCAAGTCGTCCTTCGCTTCTATAGTTTTAGCAGATGCTTACTCTGAGTCTGAAGCATCCTCAACTCCTACTCCCGACTTAGCAGCCTCTACCAATCGCCATTTGATAAGGGATAAATCTGTCGACAGTTGTAGTGATTTATACATAGAGCACCGTAGATCTCGCCATTATAATAGCTGGTATCATCCAGTGAACCTAAAGAATCGGCAAGAAAATGGTAACAAAAGGAAAAATAAGGTGAAAGCTAAGTTTGAGAAGGTAGAAAATGAGACTTCTGACTTTACTGATTCAATAGAGGCTGCTCTAGACCCTTTATATGGTTCAACTGGCTCTTGTATGGCTAGTAGTGTAGACGCTTGCTATTCTGCCTATCCACATAATCTTTTTCAGCCGATACTATTCAAAAATAGTAACTATCTTACTAGTTATTGCAAGCAAGGCAAGCATGAGGAGCAGCATCAGTCCTATAATCAGCATCGGCAGCAACAACAACATCGGCATCGTAATAATAATACAGGGCCTCAAAACCGGTCAAAATGCCGTGGCTACTCAAGATCAACCGTGGGCGAGAAAATTACAGGTGACATCCTAAATGTCAGAGGAATTTCGAGATCCAAGGAGCAAATCCCATATAAAGGAATATATTCCCATCAAGATCCTTCTATTATCAGCAAATTAAAGACTGCCCATTGGCGAAACGATCATCGTGAAGCATTCCATCGGCCATGTACGGTACTAGAGCCCGAAGTTAGTGATTATTCTAGCCTACTTAGCAGCCCTAACCTCACCAACGTCCACACCAAATACCTTGACTCCAAAGCAACCTACCTTAGTAAAATTAAGCATCGAATTTCACCATCATCTCCCAGATCCCATAGCCGAGTTCCCTGGGAATCAGCTTTATCTGAAAACACTTTGAAGCAGGGGGAAGCGGATAAATGTATTCTGAATGCTCAGAAGCAAAACCGAATGGAAGAAGGCAAATATAGCGAAGCTAGTGAATCTGACATTTATGAAACAAGAAAGGAACTTAAGGAAGAGACACTGGAACCTTTTTGGCAGACCGATCCTTTTGCAGCCAATCTGGATTTGGACTTGGACAGCACTGTTATTCAAGTTCATCCAGTAAGTTTAAGAGTTATAGTCGTAGATATGAAGACCAAGCTGCTGTAGCCTCTGCTTTGGTCGCAGTCTCCTTTCGATCTATAAAAGTGGTCTGACCTCGTTTTCTCATCTTAGTCGTATTGTCACGGTAGCCTAGTTGGACCTATCGTGTTCGAAGTCCTCTGCTATAGTATTTATGATTATTCCCAGTATTGGACCACGGAATGACACTTCTCAGATGTTCCGCCGGCATCGTAGTTGGTTTCGTCAATAAATCTTGCTACTCTTAGCACAAAGCTACAACTCTTCAGGAAGACAAGTGTCCCTTGATCAACTTTCTGCTAAACAGTTGCGTTATCAATCCTTATGTCCAGATAACTATACCTACTCCCTATCCGCATGTCTCACACCCTCACCATCACAACTTCTGATTTATTTGTATTCTACTTATTTAGAGGTGAGCCTTTTTGGCGAGTTTATGGGCGCTTTATTTTACGGCATTGTTTACCTTCCCCCCCCTTTCAAGCTCGATTTTCCGGAATTACTGATCCGACTCGGGCCTTCTATCCAAATCTTCCTTATGGCACTGAGATTCGTTTCTTAGCTTACTTGTTGACTGGTTTCACTTATTTTTAGTGGTATCAGGGCGTTGGGGAGGACCATGAGAAATAGCGTCTATATTTAAATGTATACTTTGACGTAAACCGAGTAAAATTAGTCAACAAGCAAGATAAGAAACGAATCTCTGGAGTGGGAGATTTAGATAGGAGGATCAGCAATTCCGGTAAATCGAGATGGAAGGGTTGGGCAAGCTAAACAAAACGGTGTGATTACACACCACTATACTTGTAAAAATAAGATTTTTGTAAGAGTCGAATAAAAACAAATCAAAAATTGTTATAGTGAGAGCGTCAGACATGAAGATAGGGAGTAGATATATGTAACAGGGCATAAGGATTGATAATGCGACCATTAGGCAGAAAATTGGTAAAAGGATTGATTACATTTGTTTCTTTGACGAGCTGAAGCTTGGTGTTGGAAATGGCAAAACTCACTGACGAAGCCAACTAGGATGCTTGCCAAACGTTTGGGAATTTACCAAGTCCACAGTTCAACACTGGGAATAATCGTAACTATAACAGAGAACTTCGGACAAGGGGTATTCCACTAAGTAACCTTTATAGCACGACCAAGTTGCGTAAACGAAGTCAGACAGCCTCTATAAGAAGAATATTATAACCAAATACATGTTAAAAATTAGCCTACAAAACGAGCAAAGTATATCTTGACGTTGTCGGAGAAACTTTTATTTCATATGAAAGTGCACGTAGATGAGATTCGTAAGTTGATCTCACCATAAGATGACTGCTGAATGCCGTTTTACTGCAACCGTTTGACGACGTTCAGGCTGACGCAATCTATGAGATTTACTCCTCGCTTCGGGTGAAAATGGGTTGAGCTTTCGTCCATCATATGATGGACACTATCAGAGCTGGAACTCATTCTTGTAAAAGTCTCACGTTAGCATCAGATCAAAAGGACTATCCGGCATTGTATTGCCTCTTATATAGACTCACTTATGCAAATGAAAATTAATAGACGTAGATAGATATGGAATTGTTTGGCTAATTATCTTTCGTATTAGTCCTGCTACTTTTGTTCGAGCGTGTATATGTGTGTGTGTTAACGTCTATATGCAATATCGGTCATAAATCTGATGATCAAAGAAGGCTAATGTCAGGCTCTGGTCATCAAGACTTAATGACCCAAGAAAAAGTCATGTTCTAGACTGCGTAAGTCTGTAAGCAAGTATGGTTGATAAAATGAGATGTAAGCTTGTAAGTTACGAAACCACTTGTCCTAACCTTTCAGTTTAGGGTTATTAACGTTCAACTACCCAAGGAAAGGCATGACTGCGGCTGCGTAATCTCGTACGTCTGGTTTGGTTGATGAGCTTAAGCTAACAGGTTAGATGAATATGAGTGAAGTTAGAACCAGTAATGAACAGACAAGTTGAGTCAGCATTTATTGGTTGGTGGCTCAACACCCTCCCCCTCTTTCAATCTTTTAATCAAGCATAGAAACACACACACGTATAGACACTCGAACAAAAGTATCAAGAACAATACGAAAGATAATTAGCCAAACCATTCTATATCTATCTAGGCCTTTTAATTTTATATTTAAGAGGTAAGGCGGAGCCAGATAGTCTTCTTGACCAAGTATTAACGTGAGACTTTTACAAGAATGAATTCCAGCTCTGATGATGTACATCAAATGATGAACTAAAGCTCAGCCCGTTTTCACTCGTAACGAAAGAGGAGGTATCGTGGCTTACGTCAAACTAAACGTTGTATAAAAGCCAAATGGCGGATTTCGAATCTCTTCTCTATGCACTTTCATACGAAATGTTATCTCAGGAGATTCATCGAAGCCCAGTTACTTTTCATATATCTTGAGTATTTGGCTATTCCTTGTAAGCTGACTGAAAATCTAAATGGATAGATATTAAGGAGTCAAAATAATTCCATTAAATTCTAGCATTCTTATGACATTTATGCTGAAAAATTACCTGTGTTTTAAGCACTAATTATCGTGTGATGAATATCTAATCATGTTCCCCGTTTCTGGATCATTATCAATTTATATGCTGCTATGCGGTGAAAGGTTTTCTGTCGAGCTTTATGCAGTTGGCCTTGTATGTTCGAGATTTTGTTAATTGAGTATGAAAAAGCGTTTTGTTTAAACGCATTTTTTCATGAGCTTTTGGTATCTGGCATTCTTTCCGTTCCACTAGTTGAAGAGATCTTGATAAGGCCTTCTAACAATGTGACAACCTAAGATTCCGTTGTCTCATCAATCCTTCTATGCTAACTTAATCACAACAAACGCCTACTCAGGCACAATGTTGATTGGGGAGTCGTGCTTATCTTGCTCCTAAAACATTTGAAATTTACTATTTTTAAGGACTTTACTATGCATTTTTAAAGGCCCGTTTAAAAGGATGGAAATCAGCATTTTTATGCACCTACATTTTTGTCTAAGCATTTCGATTCCTTTGAGATTCCTAATAAAGATCACAAGATTAATGCGGGCCATGACCCAATTAAAAGCATCTCCCCCTCTGATATTACGCTATAAAATCTAAAAGATGCTTGATTTATTTAATCTCTGTTTTAACCCTCTTGAAAGAGGATTTCGGCTTACGCTATTTCCTTTGTCGAAGAAAACTCGATTATGTTTTCCTATAATGACACATCTTATCTCTGAATGCAGCTTACTATATTCCTATTTTTTACATTAAATCTATTCAGGCAATCGGCAGTTGATGTCAGTAATCTAATTTAGCCTTTCGTAAATTTTGGACACAATGTTCCATTTAAATTAAATCGAGCTAGTCACGCCAGCGCTGGTTTTTCCTATTGTCAAAAGTTGCCAATGGTTATTACCTATGATCCAATGGCCCTAGGATAGAATGCACGCTTATTCCTTGTTTTCACAGTTATAAACGCAAGAGAACACATCATAATAAGTAGAGTTCTCAAAGCTGATTGAAGCTCAAAATGTGAATATAATTTTGCGGATTAGGTATAAGCCTAAGTAAAATAAAATAAATCGATTTATATTAGGAAATTGACTGTTGAGGAATCACTTGATATATTAGGGCTTGGCTTACATTTAATTCGCCAACGATTGACGGA